TTTTTTTTTTCTTTTTAATCTTGGTTTCACCATCCAGACAACCATCTGTCATCTAACTTATCTCACTACACGCACATTGCATGCAACTTGAACTCAAGAACTCTTTTTTGGACGAAAGTAAATAACTACTGAATTACTTAAATAGTTGGCAATTACTTACAAATCTTAAATAGTCTAAATAACTAATCAATACCTTTCTTCTTATTCCTCATCATTTGACCTTTATGCAGTGGGTAATACTAAGCAACCTCTCGATGATTTTTGGGAGTGCTTTCTCTATGGACAATTGAACAAGAATTCAAGTGCAATTATGGCACAACCAGAGGCTCCTGTTCCACAAGCTACACTGGTAGCAAATACTTCAATGACAAATGAAGGTAAGGCTATACATTATTCAGTCAACGCCATCTAAAATGACTCAAACATATCGGATGACACCATTAACATTTGCAGATAGGGCTATTAAAAGAGCAAGAGATCAGGCTTATCGGGAACGGCTGAAGGTGAAGAAATTAATATGTCGTATTGCTTTATTTATTTTTGTTTAGTTTATAATCACAGCAAGCTTAGGCTTGTTTGTATTCCACGTTCTGCAGAAACGCAAGACAGAAATGGAGGGTAACATGGAGGCACTTACTCAAGAGAACAAGGCATTAAAGGTTGAAAATGGAGCATTAAAAGCGGAAAACACACGTCTGAACCAAGCTTCTCAATCTCAGGGAGAGGGGATGGATAAACTTAAACATGATTTCAACCAATTGAAGCATGAGTATAACAAGCAAACTGTACTTGTGCAGACACTCTCAGGTGTTCTGGTAAGTCTCCATTTGAATTGTTTGTGTGTGTATGTTTATGTGGCAATGCACATGCTTAATTTAGAATAGGTTGAGCCACTTTTTAATTTAAAGTCCATTTGATTTAGTTTGGTTGATAATATTACCAGAAAAAAGGGCTTTTAAGGAAAAGATATTTCGAACAAGTCAAATTTATATTTGAAATAAATAACAAATCAGACAATTAAATATTTTGTCTAAAAAACTGTTTTTGTCAAGTTTTTAAAACAAAATTTGGCAATCATTTATCATGGTATGCACCTCATATAGACTCTATTTATGGTGATATGTCTAAAAGTTCATATCGAGCATGTGAGGAAGACGTATTAAGTTGCTAAGTGAAAATGTGTTTCATAATATTTAAGAATGATTACTCCATTTATTGACTATCAATTTTAAGTTGAATATTCACATTATATTTCAACTCACATCTCAAATTTTCACGGATGAATCGAGTTCAATTTTGGATGAGGATCTCTGGATATGTCTACCTCTGTTCAGGTAGCAAACTTTTTGTGGGGTGAAATGGTTTTTACCTTGGGGTGTTTATTAATGGTGGTCTGAGTGAGGCCAGCACTTGCTAAGAAGAGATACAAGAATAAACCTTGTTGTCTATTTGAAAAAGAGAGAAGTCATTAGACATGCATACGATAAGAAAGAGATTTACTAACCAATAAAGACATAATCTAGTGGTTAAGAAAGTGGACTTGGTATTTAATTTTAGATTCGTGATTAGAGTGCTGTTTAAAGCATATTGTTATCCAATTTATGTAATTAATTTTGTTAGATTTTTGATATGATTGTATTGTAATATATATCTATTTTTTTGGTACACAATTGTATCATGATATATGTTTACTTGATTGATATGATGTGAGTTTTGTATGGAATTGTAATGAAATTTCAACTCATAAAAAAAAAAAAAATTCCCTATTTGTTAGCTGTTGGTGTATCACTACTAATTAACTTCGCATTGATGTATTTACCCGTGTCATTGATTGTTTCTTGTAGGCTGGTTCTGCTCCCAGTCCCAGAGATGAAGAAGTTCAGAAGCTGAAAAATGAAATTGATTTGTTCAGGCAGGGAATGGGTATGGACAGTCCGTGCTTGGAACTTATGAAAGAGACTGCCAAGCTGAAGCACGAACTTGAGAAGGTGAAGCACGAAAAGAGGGCACTGAAGGTGCAGCTTGATGCTCTATGTGAGAAGATCATTGCGGAGAATCCATCTCCGTAGCCAAGTTCATGGTTTAATTTAGGAAGACAGCCAGCAGAATAATGCTTATATGTGTTATGAAGGGGTCGTGCTATGCTAATAATTCTGTAATGTTTTTTTGCTTGGGAAAGGTAATAGTACCATAAGGTGTGGATTGTTTAAGGGTTTTTTTTTTTTTTCCTTTTAACAAGGGCAATTGGGGTAAAGGGGGATAAGAAAGCCGCTAATGCAACGGTTAGAAATCTAGCATTTGTCAAGAGTTCAGTGCACTTAGACTAATGCAGTCAAAGTCGTGGGTGCAATTGTAAAAGGGTTATGAACTATCATGTGTTTGTTTGGTATGATTGGATTTTTAAATGAAATTTTGTTTATGAAAATCTGATCTAGAGGTTTTGTTTGTGAGAATCTGTCTTTAAGAATTTTGTTTATGAGAAGTTGAATATGTTTGATTAAATGTTTTGTACAAGCACTTCTAAAGTCTAAAGTTATTTGGTAAAATTTTTTTATAAAAAATCTTTTAATTTAATTGTGATGTTAAAATGACTAAAAATTGTTTTTTTTGGGTTAAAGAAGCAACATCACAATTATTTAATTTTCGTGCTTATAGAATTTTAATTCTTGTGAATTTAATCATTTTTTTAAGGTTAAATGCTAGTTTTGGTCCCTCAACTTTAGTGGTTTGCACATTTTTGGTCCCTCAACAATTTTTTGCACTTTTTTGATCCCTCAACTTTAAAGAATGCACTCCGTTAGTCCTTCTGTTAATTTCAAACGTTAACTCGCTTGCGTGGCATTTTTTATCATTTTTTGATGACGTGGCAAAAACAAATTGAAAATGTGTTGCCCCGTGGATTTTTTTTAATTACGTTCATTTTCTTCCTTTCTCTTTTTCTTTTTTTTTCTTCCTCTTTTTTCTTCCTTTTCTTCCTCGGGTCATTGAACCCAGTTTGCTGGGTTCGACGGAACCCCGTCTGGGTTCCACCGAACCCAGCAAATCTGGGTTCGATGGAACCCATTTGCTGGGTTCAGTCGAACCCAGGAACTGGGTTCGCTGGAACTTTTTGACATCATCTGTCCTCTTCCATTCCCTCACTGGCTTTCCTTGCATCACTCCATTTGATGCCCACCATTTTCTACTTTGTTTTCTGGTAAAGGTTATCGGTCGCCGACCATATGGACCACAAGAGGAATGGCAAAAGAGCAAGGCCATACCTTATTATCCATAACGATCCAAACATATGAAATACATATCAAAACATCAGTTCTCAAATGCAAAGTAGCATTTTCTGAGTTTTA